CCAAACCCAGTCATAGATTTATTCATAGATCCAGTCAAAGATGTATTTTAGTCATTTCTGGTTTAAATTGAGATCCCTTCCGTCTATAACTCACTTATCCTCCGCCATTCCCAAGTCAAGGGTCGTATATACTGACCCAATAGCATAGCTTGAAAACTAGAGCCAATCAACAATTTTAAGCATCATTTTCGTTCTCAGTGACCCAGAATTAGTAAAGTTTGACTACATTTATTTCAGAAGCATTTTGGCTGTAGAGCAGTGTAATACTGTCTTGTCAATTTTGATGATGAATTCACTGGGCCAGTAACTCTCTGTACAGAGCTTAGGAAATGGTGTCCCAATCTGAACTGAGGTTTCTAGGCACTACCTTAACACTAACACGTCTAATAATAATAAATGACTATTTATTTGGATTGCTCTTTTCTGGAAATAGCAATGTTCATGGTGTAGGAAAGAACATTTTTATTAATCAGTCTGGTGTCTTCTGATACTGCTTGCAGAAATAACACTCTTATACTGATTTTACTTTAACATAATTTTCAGTGCTGGTTGTCTATTTGGTACCGCCAGGTCCACAGGAGAACAATGATACTTCACACACACACTGCCCCAATAATTCATTAAGCCCCACAATATTTCAGTCAGGTTCTGGCTGAGCTCTCAAAAATAGGTGACTGAGTAAGGTGCTGAATTCTTTTCTGAACTGATTCTGCAGGGCCAAATTGTCCTCTCTGTGGGAATCAGAACCTGTTGGGTTCATTGGGGATGGCAGGCACAAGGAGGAATTTATCCCCCCCACAACCTTCCCATACCAGCATCCTGGACAGATCTGCTCAACTACCCACCCTCCTCACACCAGCATCCCAGGGAAATCCTCCCTCAGCCCCAGCTCAGGGGAGTCCTGCCCACTCACCAATCTGCTGCAGCAGGGACGCCCAGCTGCAGGCTTCTTAGCAATTGGTTTCGGATTCCAAGTTTGTCTTTGCAAGAAACAGGGCTGGGTCCTTGATTTAAAATGAAAGCTGAATTTGTCCTTTGCAGGGACCAAAGGGACTTGGTTAAACAAGGGCTCCAGCATGCCCCTTCCAATGCGCCAGTGCTAGGCATCTTACCTCCCAGCCCCAAGGGACAGGGGGGAAGAAGGGGCCACTGTATAACCCCACCCACTCCTCTTTCCACCTCCTGCCCACTGACTTTAGTGAGACTATTAACACTGAATAAGGCGAGCAGGATTGGTCCCTCCAGGGTTATGCAGTAGAAATGACACTTACAGTATTCCCAACCCCAAATGTTCAAAAACCATGAGTCAGGCTCACCAAAAATCATGGGACTGGCTTTAAAATCATGAGATTACATAAAAGTAATAGATTTGGGGTTCTTTTTATTTGCCGTCTGCTTTTTGAGCCTTTACAATGCGCTGGGGTCACATTTTGAAGCTTTTTCATAGATGCAAGTGCTAGAAAGGCACTTTTTCTTTAAGAATGAAGGCTGAAATCATCACTCAACTCCAAGAGCTGGGGCTTTAAGGAAAACAACAATTATCATGAGACTCATGACAAAACCATCAGAGTTGGCAACACTACTTTGAATACGGAAGAGAGGAGTTTTGAACAGTCTGATAAGGAAGCAGTTGTTCACCAGATAGGATGGATTCTAATGAGTGCCCAGTGCATCTCAGAGTATGACAGAGAAATACCTCGTGAGAAACATCATAAAACACAGACCAGAAACATATGAATTGCCAGACACACTTCAAGTTCTAGGGGGTCCTGTTGCAGTAATATGAAGCCTTCTTTCTTCATTTCAGTGCAGGTCTGTAAACCTGTATCAGCTGTTTATGTGCGCTACTGCCCTCTAGTGCGCTGTTTCTCAAATGCGGCCACCAGGGGGTTTCCCTGCGGCCACGACAGCTTCCTAGGCGGTAATGAGGGGAGGCAGCAAAGCGTTGGCCCCTCCCACTCCCTCCCTGTTGCTTCTGGATGCGCTACTCTGCATGTCTCTGGAGACAGGTGGGGAACAACGCTGAAGGAGCAAGGTGAGTTTTCACCGGGGTGGGGCAGGGATGAGGGGCATAGTGGGGCTCGGAGCGGCGGGGACTTAGGGAGCCTGGCTGCAGACTAGGGCTCCAGCCATGGGGCTTCAGATGCCAACCCCTGGCTGCGCGGCGGTGGTGGGCTCCAATCCCTGGCTCCAGCCGTATGGTACCAACTTCAAATCTCACCTGTGGCTGCTGGCCCCAGGTGCTGACCCCAGTCCATGCACTCCAACCTCCAACCTTGGTCGCTGGCCAGCAACCATGAGCTCCAGCAGCTGCCGGCCCTGGGTGCAGATCCTTGGCGCTGGCCTTGGGCTCCGGCAGATGCTGGCTCTGGATGCCAACCCCTAGCCCTGGCCATGTGGCAGACCCCAAGTGCCAGCCCCAAACCGTGGTGGCAGTCAAACCCCGGCCGCGCGCTCCGACGTCCAGCCCTGGCCCCTGACACCAGGCACTGCTCCTGGATGTCGACCCTGGGTTCCAGCAGATGCTGGCCATAGGCACTGATCCCCAGGCCCAGGCACCAATCCTGGGTGCAGATCCCCAGACCTGGTCACACAGCAGTGGGCACTAACCCCAGGCTCCAGCAGGTGTTGGCCCTGGACGCTGACCTCCAGTCCCGGTTGCGCAGCAGCAGATGCCGGCTCTGGGTGCTGACCCCCAGCTGCATGGCAGTGGGTGCCGATCCCCGGCCCTGGCCAAACTGTGGGCGCCAACCCTGAGCTCCAGTGGGTGCTGGCCTAGGGCACAGACCCCCACCCCCAGGCACCAACCCATACCTCCAACCATGAGGTGGCAGGTTCCCCCCATCCGTCCTTCCTGGCCACCACTGCCTCACCCCCCATCCAGGTCTTAACTTACCAGGACTTGCTGTGAAAAGTGATATTAACTAATATACAAATACCACTTTTCACGGCATTATTTTTATTGAGTCTGAAAAAAAAACAACCTACATAAATAAATTACAATGAGCTGGATGTGTATACATGCATCTTTATTTGTTTTTCCTAAAATTAATTAAGAATTTTAGGGAAAAGCGTCAGTGTGGCCACCAGCAAGAGTTGATGGCCGCACTCTGAAGCCACCAAAAAATTTGTCACGAGAACCTCTGCTCTAGTGGGTGAAATATGACCTTGTCCACTCCAGCAGGCGAAACCCTCTCATGAGCATCTTCTCCACTCCTCTCTCCAACAACAAAATTCTGGTAGTCTGTTTTTCATTTTAAATATCTGGTCACCTTCTGTGGGAGGGAAAGAGGGAGTGGGGGAAGAGGAGATGGAACAAAGGAAGGAGGAATGATGGAGGGATCCTGGGAGGCAGGGGTGATTAAAAGAATGAGGATCCCCAGGAATTCTAAAGCACATATAGGGTGAGGTGGCATGACCATCTCCGTGGCCACTCTGCCCATTTTGTAATGTTTCCTCCATCCAGAGTGGAATAGTGCCCCTACAACACTTTGTCAGGAAAGAATAATCTCCATCCAGTTGTAATAGCTCTTCACTATACAAAATGAATATCCACCTGTCACGGAGTATTGGGGGACTCAGGGCCCTGCACCCCCGGCTTCCTGCGATTCACCATGACTCTCAGCCAGCCAGTAAAGCAGAAGGTTTATTTGGATGACAGGAATACAGTCCAAGACAGGTCTTGCAGGCACAGACAACAGGACCCCCTCAGTTAAGTCCAGCTTGGGGTCCCAGGGCATCCCAGCCCAACCCCCTTTGGGGGGTCAGAGCCATCTCTGCCTCCCAGCCATCTCTCCAGCTTGCTTCCAGCACTCTCCCTTCAGCGACCCCTCCCACAGCCTTTGTTCAGTTTCCCGGGCTAAGGAGTCACCTGGCCTTCAACCCCTTCCTGGGTTCTCATGTTACACACTCAGGTATGCGCCCTCGGGCAGTCTCCCATCCTCCAATGCAGACTATCCCAGCCACACTCCCCTGTCAGCATTCACAGACCACAGTGAGACCAGGCCCAGTTCGTCACACCACCATAGGCTGTCACATAGGAGAGTATCATCAACAATTCGGAGGGCACCACAGGGTCTCGGACTACCTCCCCTCAAGGCTATTGGGGTATAGCTGTGATCACCTAAGGCTGCTGCCAACTTTCACAGGAAGCAGCTCTCTATGGCTTTCACAATGTCCAAGCCTATACACTCACTCACGTCACTTCCTCCCACTTGAGTGACCAGTCCTGTTGCTTCTTTGAGCCTCACCCAGCTCTGACCCACAGCTACCAACTGTGACCTCCACATTCCCTCCTGCTGAGCCACGAGACCTGAATTACCTTTTCGGGCAGTCCTGCTTGTTTCCCTTCTGGAGAGACCTTTGCTTGCTGTTCTACCCAGTGCCTGATGATGTACCTACACACGCACACCAGGGATTTTTCCCCTGCAGTCTGCAGCAGAAAAAAAAACACAGCAGCTGTCCCCTTCCTCTCACCTGATCTTGTTTGCCTATAGCTAGCCGCATATAGCTTTTATAGCAATTGGAAGATGCTTGTAACATTTTCCTCTTACGCTGCATGATGGCTGCAATGCAAAAGCTGCCCCATACCTGAGGGGAAATGAGAAGCAACACTCCAACTCCATGCTCCAGAGGTACATGGTTATGTGGATACAGCATTGGCTAGGACTGAGGAGATCTGAGCTCTACTACTGACCTTTTGTATGACCCTGTGGCTGGGCAAGTCACTTCACATCTCTTTACCCTCAAGTCCTTTGTCTGCCTGATCTAATTAGATTGTTAGCTCTTTGGTGCAGGGACCACGTCTTACTATATAGGTTCCTAGAGCACTTAGCACAATGGGGTTCTAATACTGGCTGGGGACTCTAGATGCAACCACAATACAAATAAAAGATAATCCTCAGCGACAGTCACCCAATAGATCAGCTCCGTTGTGATGACTGTGCTCACTACAGCTAAGAAAACAATGCAAACCAATTTCCACTAACATATATTCAAATTCAAAAGAAAATTTCAGTTCACCATGTTCCTGATACTTTTGCATACTTTTTCCACAGTATTCACACACTTGAGCTTCACTAGCATGAATATTCACAAAAAGCAAACATGAAGCTCAATTGCTCAGAAATTCTTTGGAAGAGGATGATTTGTATATTTGATTACAATACATACAATTCATACTGAGTTGGTTTGTTATATCTACCATCCAAATATGGAACAAAACCACCAGGAGCCTCTTTAGGTAACTAAGGCCCAGATCCTCAAAGATAATTATTTCAGGTGGAGTTAGTTGCCTAAATGCCTTTGAAGATCAAGGTCTAAATACCACAGTGTGAATCTACAAGTTTAACACTGAATTCTTTGCAAACCATGACATCACCATCATGTTAGTCCTGCCTGTGATGGGGAAGGACTTTGAAAGGAATATTTACACTCAAGAACAAGCAGAAAACACATTCCCTTAAATTGATCCCAGACTAGGAATTCATGGGTGATACCAGCACCCTTCTGTCAGACGGAAAGCATACTTTTGTATGGTCCCAGAAGACCACAGCTACCATTAAGGGGGAAAAAAATCTCACTCCTGCAATTGCTCACAACAGGTAACAGCCACCTCAGAACACCAGGCTCCTCTGTCAGACGGAAAGCATACATCCCAAAGCACGTGCACCCTGCAGGCATGAAAGATCACTGTTTATTCATTCTGTGCTCATACGGTAAGCGCTTTATTTTGTGGAGGATGTGCTGTAGTTTTCATATATATCAAAGATGTTAAAACTCTGCTTTAAGTGCAAAACTCAACCCAAATCTTCAGCATAGAGGATTGGTGTCTCCATAATTTCTACCTCTCATTGTACAAAGCCACAAAACATATGGGAGAAACAAGTTGTAGCCTGCAGGCAGGACCGGCTCCAGGCACCAGCGAAGGAAGCAGGTGCCTGGGGCGGCCAATGGAAAGGGGCGGCAATGCGTTGGGCAGCACCGTCCGGATCGGTGGCGGTGGCAGCTCAATCGGCCCGCTCTGGATCGGTGGAAACTCGGTGGAGGGTCCTTCACTCGCTGTCTTGCTCCTCGGCGGCACTTCTGCGGCAGCCTGATCGGGTTCTTCTCTTTTTTTTTCGCCGCTTGGGACGGCAAAAAAGCTGGAGCCGGCACTGCCTGCAGAAATTGCAGTGAAATGCTTGTGTTCTCCTTGCTTTCATGAAAACTAACAATTGGCTGACTCAGTTTCTGTGCAAGACTGTGGGTGAGCTGGCATTTGGGACATAGTCAGCTTTGAAATAAACAAAGGTATCCTTGCCATTTAAACAGGTGCTGTTTAAAAAAGCTCCTGCTCAGGGTGAGCTCAAGTTCAGCCGAGCCTGCTCAGGGAACAGACGTACTTTGGCATAGTTTAGGGCAAATAGCTAAAACAAGGTTTCAAAGAGCATTTCCAAATCTCCTATTGGAGTCAGAGAAAACTACCCCAGGTTTGCCATTGCGTTATTATACACATATTGCCTGATTGCCTCACATTTTGGATGGCATTTAACACATTACTTTTATTAACAATTAATTAATTAATAACTCACAGTGCTAATCACCAGGGCATCCATGTTGACCAGCTACCTTTGAGGAGCCCTCTGCCCTTGCACTAGAAGTTCCACCCCAGCGCGTTGCTCTTGTTTTCTTGGCTTCTGCTCCTGTGTTCGCCCCAGTACATTCATAGCCTGCACCAGCGGCCTGGTCCTCGCGTCGCTACACATCTCTATTACCTGTCTCTGGTGCTGTGGTGCGTTACCATCCCGCCACCCTTCCCCCTCCAGCATTTCCTCCTGCCTCAGTTTCCCCAACATGATTTTAGCCACCTCTTACTGGCAACTGGGAGCCCTGTTTGCCCAGAGCCACGAGGCAAAGGGGGGATGGGGGAGGCGAGCCCCCCCTTTATTACGGAGCAAGAGGCTGGGTGATGATGGCCAGAGGCTTAGGATGCCTAAGCAGGCCGCCCAGGAGCCCTCCCTGCGCTGCACCGCCCACAGGCGGGGGCCAACCTGCCTGCAGCGGCCGCTTCCCGCAGGGCTCCGGACTGGAGGCTTCGCGCCCCCACAGCCCCGGGCCTCTGCGGGGCTGGCAGGACGCGGTCCCGCCGCGGCTCTCCGAGGCGCGCCAGGAGCCGGGCTACCGCCGGCCGCGGCCCGAGCCCGGCGCGAGGCAGGCTCGCGGGAGCGCCCAGGGCGCGGCTGTTCTGAGGAAGCGGCGGGGCGGGGCGGGCTGCTCCGGGCCCGCGCCAGGGTTCCTTTGAACTGGCACTTGCGGTTCCCTGGAAGCGAAACCAATAGGCTGGCGCCCCTCCCCCGCCCGGCCGCCGGCCCGAACCTCGCGAGCTGCAGCCGCCTGACGCAGATGGAAAGTGAAAGTGAGCGGCCACGTGTTTTCTGCGAATTGAGCAGGGGAGGGAGGGAGGAGCCGCCGCCCGGGGAGTTGAGCCCGAGCCATAAAATTGCGAGCGATGAGCGGAGGCAGAGCAGTCTGGCTCCAGCGCGCCGCGCAGCCCCTAGCAGGCTGGGATTGCTACAGGCGCCAGGCAGGACTCGCTGGCAGATTATGGTTGTGCTATTCCTGGGGCCAGGCCTACGAGTGCACCACTGCCGCGCGGGGGCTACGGGCTTGCAAGGCGGCCGTGCTCGCAGCTCGGGTTTATGGTGCCCCGTGCCCGTTCAAGGAGCAGCGTTGATCCCCGCGGCTCAGGGCAGAGAAGGTAAGGGACGCTGTCTTTGTAAGCCATTGCTAGGGCAGTCCCGAGCGGGCTTCCACGCGCAGCCTTTGGTGTCCCTTAGCCTGGAGCGCAGCGAGCCTTAGTCCGCTTCCAGCGAGAAGCGTTCAATGAGCTCCCAAGCGCGGCGAATGATCTCTGGCCCTGGCGCAAGAACACACGAGCCTGCACAACGCTGGCGGTTTTTAAAGAGCTAAAGATCGGTGGAATATAAGGTAGCAGAATCATAATAATACTGCACATCGCTGAGTCTCTAGCTAACACCTTGCTTGCCAAAAGGACTCCCAAACCCCTTGCGACGCGTCCATCCTGCGGCATCATTGAAAAGCAGTTACCTCTGGGGTAGAGCGCAGCGGCGAACTGACAGACCAGCATTAGCTGGGCCGGGATGGGGAAACTTTGGCCAAGGACACAAGGGCAAAACCTCTGCGCGTAGGAAAAACTGCCTTGGGACCTTGCAATGAGGCACAGGAAAGCAGCTGTGTTTTCAAGCTTACCGGCAGTGAAGTGCATAGAACTCCTGTTGTGTACTCCTCCTCCCCCCACCAAAAAAAAAAAAAAGTTTTGTTTCTCCTGGAGGTGAATGGTTCTAGAGAATCTTATTGTTTTAAACCTAAAGGCATCCACCCTTCAGAGTGCCTTGATTTTTTTAAACTTTGAATGCTGAATAGCGATCCTCACCCAAGGATTAGAAAAGCTGACATTGGTTTCTTTCATGTGCCATACAAGGAAAACCTAACCATACTTTGCTTGTTTTAAGTTATCTGCTAATGTCAGGATTTTATGATTGCTATTTCAGTCAGTAAAATGATCTAAATGAAACTAAACTCAAATGTCCGGCTGTCACATTCACAGAGACAGGAATCCAGCTAAGTGCTGTCTCTGCATCTATGTCCGCATGTTGCTGTGTGAGACAGCTGTGGGGATTCATTTCTGAGAATGCCTCAAGCTTTCTCAACAGTCTGCCAGTGCAGATCTATAACGGACTGTAGGGATAAATCCTAAAATCTATGCTTTCCAGTAAGGTCAAGGCAGCCTGCAGAGATGTATCGAACCATGCTGTCGGTGTAGACGTTTGAGGCCAAATTAATTGCTGGTACAACCATGCTTATTTCAAAATAATTACTCGAGGGATGAATTTGGCCCTTGGTGCTGAAAGATATATCAATAGGAAGCAATTTAGATTGGGCCACTTAAAGTGCATGCAATACAAAAAAGAGAGAGAGAGGAATAATGCTTGAAGGGTTCATAGAGGTTGCTTTGTGTAGGCTTAGTGAGGTGGTAACATTGCTATCCCTGGGGGGTGGAACAAGGGATGGGAAATGGACTTCTATGGCTGCTTCTCCAGTTGATTGAAGAACAGAGAGTAGATGTAGGATTATGTGTAAATTGGCAGGGTTACAAACTGCACTGCCAATCACGTTTGAATCACACAATACCACCCATTCATTTCAGCCAATTCCATCCACTTTCTGGGGATTTGTACACAGCTGCAGAGTTTACCTTTCCTTTAGCCACGTTTTTTTTCCCCCACATAATGCAAAGAACAATACAGTCTGAGTTCAGACATCTACATCTGGGAAATGGGAGGGGGAAGAGAGCAAATCAGTAGTTTTATAATAAGTGGTTTTATGCACGGTTAAGGAATTGATGGAGAAGGATATACATATAAAGTAAGCTTTGAAAAAGAGATTCCCATCAGTCAACTCAATCCAGAGTCTGATGCATTTCTATGACTAATAGTAGGAAAACCGCATCATTTGTAACTGTTTCCCTGGCTGGATACTTCTGAGCGTCAGATGTTGCAAGAGCAATGGATTGCTAACCTAGCCAGATAGTGATGCTGTTCATCAGTGGTTTGCTGGGTGTAAATTTACAGAGTAAGGGCTTCATTTTATAAGGGAGCAGAGGGGTGTCAATGGAAGATTGTCACTTAATTTACGCAGATTGAGGATCTAATATTTTCTTTTCTTTTGGAATTTCAGAATAGCCGCTGGAGAGCTGCACTGCCCTGGCCACTGACGCTATGGAAGACCGCATCCGCTGGTCTAGTCTATAGGATGGTAGCGCACAGTAAGGTGGCAGCAGATAATGCAGTTGCAGCAGACCCAAGATGTCGACTTGACCCTCCAGCACGGGATCATTCTCGGCCTAGAGGTTACCATGGCCCGGCTCGGTCCAACACTGGGCAGGCGCAGAGCGACACACACTTCCGAACTTTCCGCTCACAGGCGGATTTCAGTAGCATCACCCGAGCGAGTGCCCTGCTGGATGCATGTGGCTTCTACTGGGGTCCACTGACTGTCAGCGCAGCCCACGAGAAGCTGAAATCTGAGCCTGAGGGCACCTTCCTCATCAGGGACAGCAGACAAAAAAATTGCTTCTTTGCCATCAGTGTTAAGACTGCTACTGGGCCCACCAGCATCCGAATAAACTTCCAGGCTGGGCGTTTCAGCCTGGATGGCAGCAAGGAGAGTTTCGACTGTCTCTTTAAGCTACTGGAACATTATATAAGCTCCCCGAGGAAGGTGCTGGTCACCCCACTACGCAAAGTCCGTTTACGGCCATTGCAGGAGCTCTGCCGGAAAAGCATTGTGGCAACATTCGGGAGAGAGAATTTAAACCACATCCCTCTCAATCCAGTTTTAAAGGACTACCTGAAATCCTTCCCATTTCAGATATAAATACAGCATTAACTGTGCGCATGTGTGTGAGAGAGAGAGAGCTGTGTGAAGACATCTGGGTTTTTTAATCTATTTGGGAGTGACCAAATTTATTTTTGTAGCAACTTACTGTATTTTGTGATGGAACCTGAACACTTGACTTCTTATGTTTACACAAACTGTTTGCACAAACCCAGGGTTTTTAAACTCTGGCATTATTTTTCTGCTGGGCAGACTATTCTATTTTATAATATTTCTAATGAAAATAATGTAATAAACTTTATTATGAAAGTTTTTAAAAAATAGTATCCCTGGTGTCTTTCTGGGTTCTGCTTTCTGATCGCTGTGTATCAGTTAGGAGTTGACAATGGGCCAAGTCCTTAGCTGGGGTAAATCATAGTAATCCACTGAAGTCAAAGTTTCACTGATTTACCCCCAGCTGAGGAGCTGGTCCAGTAACATTGGTGCTGCTCGCAGACAAAGACAGACATGCTCTCTGTCCCAGGTACTATATAATTTAAAACGGGGGTCGGCAACCTTTCAGAAGTGATGTGCTGAGTCTTCATTTATTCACTCTAATTAATTTAAGGTTTTGCGTGCCAGTAATACATTTTAACGGTTTTAGAAGGTCTCTTTCTATATAACTACACTATTGTTGTGTGTAAAGTAAATAAGGTTTTTAAAATGTTTAAGAAGCTTCATTTAAAATTAAATTAAAATGCAGAGCCCCCTGGACCGGTGGCCAGGACCCGGGCAGTGTGAGTGCCACCTAAAATGAGCTCGCGTGCCATAGGTTGCCTACCTCTGTTCTAAAGAAATGGAAATGAAACAGAATATACTAAGGATAAGTCTGTTGGATTTTTTTCCAGTTCCCCTATAAATCAATAGGAGCAGGGTACTGGAGTGTAACTTTTTGGTTTTATTTTAAGGGGAAGGCCAACTGTGTATGTGCTGAGATGCCTTATTTCATAAAAGAAGTGAGATTTATGGAGGTCTGAGTATCTGTAATCACCCTTCCCCATGTAATAGTTGGAGTAGGAATGGTTGATTCTTGATGTTCAAAGTTTAGGTGTTGTCCAGGGGAAAATTTAATATTGAGAAGAAAAGTGCAAGGGAGCTGAATAAATTATACACTTTTTGCAATCTTCCCCCCCCCCCCCAACAAAACAAAACAAAACAAACAAACAAAAACCTTGTTGAAACTGCCTCTGTACTATGCTTGGCTGCATTCTGCATGGTTTGTGAAGGAGTGATTCTATGACATCCCCTTGTCTGGGGTAATGATCTCGCTTAGGCTTGTCTAATTTCTGTTTAAAAACTGCATACAAAATTCCAAGGCTGTAGGCAAGAACCTACTCTCTTACACAACCAAAGCCCATGAATGTCAGTGAAGAAAATCAGTGCAGAAATATCTACTTCAAAAGGACATGAGCACTCTGTCACTATGATGGGTGTGGGGCAGTGGTCCGTCTTCTAAGAAGTCAGCCACATTAAATTTCCCCTAACCTCATGTTTTCCCCAAATGTTCACACACTTCCTTGAAAATGAGAATTATGAAACTCTTAAAGAACAGAATGCATCAGATAATTCAAAAGGTAGCATATTGCTAGCTACAGCACTGGGCTATATCATTATGGCTCTGTACACGGTTAATGAAGTCACTTTAGGGTTTGGAGGTTAAGAAACCTCTTACAGTGCTATAATTCACCTTCTTTTTAGAAGTTAATGCTAGCTTGGGGACTTAGGCTGTAATATAGTGTTCTTTATATTTAATACTAAATAGTATTTTAGCTTAAAGGTTAAGAACACCCAAAAGCAAGTAAGGATCTGAAAGTACTGAAAAGGTGTAAGCTTACAAAACTGTCAAATACACAAATATTTAACAGTAGAGCGAGATTTCCCTGAACACTGTCCCAGCTACTTTGCTAAAGTTGTTCT